TCCCTACACCTGGAGCCTGGCCTTGTTTAGTGCTGCAGGATTTGAGAAATTAGTACCAAGACCCGAGTCCACCTTGCTGCGTCTTCCCGTCAAGAGCGGATGACATCACTCGCACCCGGCAGCAGCGCGGTGTTCTGCACTCCGTGTTCTGCTCCGGGAGGAAGAAGCGATGTCATCAGCTTTTGAAGGGAAAACACAAAAAACTTGGATTCAGATAGCTGAAGGAGGAACGGAGCCTTCCCTTTCAGCCTTGGACTCACGTTATCCCTGGTGTATCTGTACTGACACCAGTAGAGAGACTCAAGAGCTGAAAAAGCAATTGCGGTATCGCCATCCTTGCCAGTTTTCAAGAGCAGACACTTGGCTGGGATGGTTTAGCCGGAGATGACCCTGCCTTGAGCTTGTGAGGTCCCTTCCAGCCCTACTTCCCGATGCTCCTATAGTTCTTATGATCCTATGAATCCGCCCATTGTGCCTCAGAATTAAAGCAGGTTTCCTTGAAGCGGACAATTTGCTCTGCTCTCTGCCCCTCTCGGCCCCCTTTTGATATAAAGCATTTCTCTTGCAGAGGGTTTGCTGCTCTTTCCTTTGCATTTGGATTCAGCGCTCTATTTTGATTTCCCCAGCTCAGCGCAGTTGTCAAACATGGGGCCTTATTTGGGGACCAAATATAATGCTCAGCTTGGCACAAAAATGTCGTTCCTGGAAACCCAATTACTGATGCAACTAAATGCAGGGCAATGCTAAATCTTCCATGGAAAATATTCTGAAAGCAATGCAAACAAGGTGAAAGAAAATTCCTCACTGGCCCCAGATCGCAATCCAGCCTCAGCAACAGCCGCAGCTGAAAGAAAGACAGAATTGCTTAAACAGATATGACTCATTAAGCGAAGCATCCTGATAGTCTACATGCAGATGGTTGCCTGCCCGTAGTGTTTGTAGAAATATCTCTTGTAATATAAAGTTCTCGCTGCAGATTTCTGCACTCAGGGACTCTGTGGGTTGTGGACAATCCCTGCAAAATGACAGTTCTGTAAAAAAGTCATTCTGTGACAGAGCGTAGCTTTTGTGCTTCCTATTATTTGAAAGGAAAATATCCCTGTTTGTCTCAGAGTGGCTCATTCTGAAATTTAAGAAGTTAAATATTACCGTTCTGCAGAAATAAGCACCTGTCTATCCAGCAATCGAGCTATCTATAGATATATAGGAAGGATAATTTGATATCATCTTTGGAAATGTTTGACTTTAGGGGTGAGTAAAACGGTTTCAATTTTCCTCTGTTAATC